GAATGTTAACACTTTGTAATAATTCTTTAGTATATTACTTGTGTGGTGTAGAAGAGAATTATTTATGTAGAGATACTGCTTGCAAACCAATGATGTAAGATGATGTCATGGGGTAGGACTGGATAAGTCTGACTTCTTCCTACTCCATTCAAGCATGTACTAGGTATAAGCAAATTGATATTGGATTGTGTGTAAAAATGTGTGTTGTTATATCAACTGTTTTATATGCTTGAAAGAATAAATCAAATCAAATCAAAATATTGTTATTGTTGTTACAGCATCTAGGTGTGAAACGCTGCACTGTGAAGTTGCAAGAAAAGTACCTAAACCTACATCAACTGGTTGTCAAATGTGATCTGCTCTTTACTGAAGTCAAACAATGTGCTAAGACAAATAACACACATACAATTATAACCTTCCAAGTATTTGTTAAATCCTGAAATGATTATATTTCATTATCTTGTTTCCTTGTAGGTGGTATTACAGGTGAGACTCACGGCAGTCGGCTTCATCAGAGCCATCCTGGCAGTGGAGCTGTCCGTCACAGCGCTGCCAGTTGGGGATGCAGTGGGGAGGGCGGCGACACAGGAACTGACCCCAACTGCAACGGCCAGGCGAGGGTGGAGGGGGAGGGGCCTGTGTGGGTACTGGCGCCAGCGTCACAGATCCATTAGATGCTGTCAGACAAATGTACAGAAGTGTGGGAATTACTGTTTGAATTCACTTGTTTCTTTATGCTTCTTCTATTCTGTTTAATTAGAATATACTGCTAAGCTGTTTATTGAGTTTGAGCAGAGTAAATGCACATCGCAGTAAATCTTCAAGACATAAATGCCTTATTGGATAATTTTGTATATTTCTAATAACACATTTAAAACAAACCAAAAAGTGTGATTTGCAAACTTGCACATTAAAATATGAACCACTACTTCTTTGCAAAACAATTTGACCAATCATCAGACAGAGGTGGTACCTGTGGGACATCCAAACTCATCGCTGCCATCAGGACAGTCAGCATAGCCATCACACACCCACGTGTTGATGATACAAGCTCCAGAGCCACAATGGAAGCAGTTGGGGGCACATGTAGAGGAACTAGAGGGCACATTGTGGGGTGTTACACCACCTGCAAGATAAAAAAATTCAAGTAAATGACTGGAGGTTGATAAAAATTATAACTTTTAAAGTAGCACAAATAACAATAAAAGGAGAAAGAGCCTATTAAACAGATCAAACATATAGAAACTATACAATACACAGTTGGCATAGGTGTGTCCCTTTCTAAAATCAATGTCAAATCAATTCAATTCAGCACTAGAGTCCAGTCAAGTTCTATTTGCAGAAAAGGGACTGAATTTGGGTATCCCAAGACAGATCCAGGCATATTTCAAAGGACTGGTATCCGTTAAAATAAAGCAAATGAAATGGTGACTCTTGTTCTCTTTTACTCTACTGCCGTGTTTCTTAATCTGGGGGTCCCTACTTCACTCTCCCTCCTCTGGGGTGCCCTTCCCTTCCCTGCTCTGTGTGTAGAGTAGAGCTGAGTGGAGGTTACACTGTATGTTACTTGAAATCATCATAGTGGCCGTTAACGCATTGTGCAATAAAATCCTCCAGTAACAAGCAATTAATCAACAACTGCTGAACAAGCAGAACACAAACTGGTGGAAAATGGGAGGTCTGTGGTGCTGTGACTGCAGTCAACTGACTGAAGTCCCCTTTTCACACCTAAACCGGTATAGTGTAAGTGTACAGTATGTTTACACAGTCATGCAGTGCCCTTTTATGCCACTTTTAGCCAATTGTGGTGATTGAGCTGAAGAGAAATGGCAACCTAATGTTACAATTGAGTCTAATTAGTAAACTACAGTGGGGCAAATAAGTATTTGATACACTGCCTATTTTTCAAGTTTTCCCACTTACAAAGAATCTGTCATTTTCATCGTAGGTACACCTCAACTGTACGAGACAGAATCTACAAAAGAAATTTCAGAAAATCACATTGTTAGATTTTTAAATAATTTGTTTCCATTTTATTGCATGAAATAAGATTTGATACAATAGAAAAATAGAACTTAATATTTGGTACCGAAACCTTTGTTTACAGTTACAGAGGTCAGACGTTTCCTGTAGTTCTTGACCAGGTTTGCACACACTGCAGTAGGGATTTTGGCCCACTCCTCCATACAGGTCTTCTCCAGATCATTCAGGTTTTGCGGCTGTTGCTGGACAACACGGAGTTTCAGCTCCCGCCATAGATTTTCTATTTGGGTCAGGTCTGGAGAATGGCCAAGGCACCCCCCGG